CTGAGACACACTTAATATTATAAGCGTTCTGATGGCATTTTAGCGAAAGGATTTTAATGACAAACATAATTAATGTACGCAAATAAGGAATAGTTGCATTAACCATACATGTAAACACAGTTTTATTACAGATGCCTAGTATTGCCTAATGGTAAATCCCCCCAATAATAAATATGACCAATGGCATGTCTTACTAATAAAATAAAAAAATTATTTTACGAAATTTAAGCTGGGAAAATGTTTCACCACAAAAACTGAAAATATGATGAACTAAATATTTGCAGCTAGTGGTGTCACACGGTCAGCTGGTTTATCAGTTATAAAAACACATCTTAAAACTAAACATGATGAACTGAAGAGAAATGCTTCCAATTATAATATTTTATCCATAAAAAAAAATTAGATTAATAGATTTTATTGATAAATCACACAGCCCTGTGAAATATATGACATATTTGATAGTTACCCTCTATCTCTATAGAAATGCTGGAAGCTGATAATATTTCATCTTAGGACGTCGGATGAGGAGAACAAACAGAAAAAGAAGGTAGAATTCGCTAAAGAAGCTGTTATTCAAGTAATTATTAGTTTTTAGGTTTAACAAAGGGCAATTTTGAAGGTAACAGGAAAATAACAACATATTTAGGTTAACATGTTCGACCAGAACCAGGGGAGGAAACGCACCTTCGTCCAATCAGCTGTGGCGCTCCTCTGCGCTTTTTGAAGACAGAGACAGAACCATGTGACCTGCAGGACGTCTGATGTTTGCATCTCGCTCACATTTAAGGTTCTCAACTCAAACATTAACGAGTCTTTGGGCTTCAAGAGATAAAATCTAATGAATTATTCAAAAGTAGCAAGAAATACAGCAAACTGCCTCCATTTGAATAAAAGCAGCGAAGTGAAAAGCAGCTAATGGAGAAATCTGTCCCCGGGTCCCATTGCAATTATGGAACAGCTTACATCCTCCTCAGACAATGGCACACAGAATGGTAGCATGTTTCATTTTTATCCAAAAATGTTGAATAAAGCTAAGTGGGCGACAGTGTGCTGTACGGGTGCGGAGTGGAAGAGATGACAAATAATGAGATCAGTTTTCTGCAGAGTTCAGAGCAAACGGCTGCAACAGCAGGTCAGTCCCACCTGCTTCTACCTGATCGATGTCTTCTATGTTAAGCTGCTTTGATCACTGCTGGTTCTGGTTTATTTAGTGCAGAGGGAGCAAACCAAAAAAAGAACAAAGAAGAGGAGGTGCAGCAATCAATCAGCCAGTTTCTCAGCTCCTTTTTGATCACCTCAATACCGATAACATCTACAAAGTTTTTCCTTTAACAAAGTTAAATTCATTAAACGGTCCTAAAATGCATTCAAATACATCTAAAGAAGCCACTTTCAGTATTTAGTGTAACTATAAGTATTTGTTCTGAGATAAAGGCTGAGTCAATGTAGGATTTTTCATAATTAATGTTTCTTACAGGAGTGAAAAAGCCTGATATCTGTAGCTGAAGTTAAAAGCCTCTGATTTAAAGCTGAGCTCTATCACTGGATCATTATGTATACCTAAAATAAGAATAATAATTTTCGTTGCAATCACAGAGTCTGGGAGCGGCCATTTTATGCCCAAATATAGTAGCCCCTCCCTCCTGCCATCTTCCAGCAGTGACGTCACGGTGCGGTAAGCCTAGCGCCATTCTCCCCGCTTTACAAGCTAAATCAATGGGAACTACTAGACACATCTGCAATCAACAACAATTATTGAAGATTTCCAGAGGACTTCACCATTGAAATTCACCAGAGCTATAGTGAAACTGACAATGCCCACGTGCATGGCAGCTGGATGCTGGAATACATTGGGTAAAAGTGGAAAAAATAGTTATTCCACCTTTCTAATTCCTGATCCTCCACGGACGGGTTGGTCGTTGGATCGCCAACTTGAAGAGGGAGGATTTGCCATCGAACTTCTGGCCAGAGAAAAAACCCGTAATATGTAGCCAACATTTGGAAGAAGAATGTTTTCAAGATGACTTGGATAATAGCGCGTTGTGACAAACACCAGATACAGCACTGGGACTTGATCAACAGCCGATACCGCACCGTGACGTCACTAACCAGTAGGTGGCAGTAGTGTTCTTTGACAAACATGGATGCCTCCAGTAAAGCACATTCACATGAAAATTACTCTTAATTAAAAACACTGATCATTTATTGAACAGGATGGAATCATTTCATATTTAAAGAACTTTCAGAAGTTTGAATTCTAAATATGACCAGACTTTTCATTTAAGTAAAAATATTACAAGATACTCCAGTCATCTTTGCTGCAGTGGGTGGAGGATTTAACCCAGAATGGGGCCCCATGTTAACATCTGCTCAGGGCCTCTAACACTGTAGGAGCAGCTCTGTAAACTGGAAGATCGCAGCAGGAGAAACAATCATGTTGTCAGAGGATGGATGCTTCTGTTTATTTATATAGAGTAATGGGACATTTTTGCAAAGCTGCTCATTGGGAATCATTATTCTGGCTTCCAGGACTCATTACTGAACAAACAAAACATTAAATAAAACAAGATAAGAAGGTTTGCATATAATGAATAGATTATTTAGAGGAAGAGAAGATAAATCATCTCACAGTAGGTCATTGTTTACCCGTTACCCTTGTGACTGCTTCAAGCAGGCAGCGGTATCAGATCAGGGCCACTAATAATCTTTGGGTTTTACGCCAATAAACACAAACCACAGAGTTACATTTTAGGAGTTTTACTTCACTTTTCTAGTGGAAGTTTAAGTCGGATATAAATAACATTTTTGATCTTGATAAGGGTTCCATAACAACCTAATAATCTATTAGTTCATGGCTTCCATAAACTCAAAAATGACCTGACTGATTAAAGCGTTTGTAACCAAAACGTAGTGTCATGATAATGTAATCATGCTACTGTCTATTATGGGATCCTTTTATCTTTTTAGGGTGGAGGAAGGAGTGAGAGACAGTCAGAAAAAAGCCCCATGAGGCGTAGTAACAGAAGTGACATAAATAAAAAAATACACAACCTAAAGTCATGCAAACTAGGTAGTTCTATATTTTTTGAGTGATGTCAATTTCCTTTATGATGAACTAAATGTTTGCAGCTAGTGTCACACAGTCAGCTGGTTTATCGGTTATAAAAACACATCTATAAATAAAACATGATGAACTGAAGTCAGCCTGAGCTACGGAAGCCAGATAAATGCTTCCATATAATATTTTATTCATAAACAGAAAACTTGATTTATAGATTTTATCGATACATCACCCAGACCTCTAAAATATAGAACACATTTGATACTTATAATCCAGTAACTGGCCAATAGAGGGCGCTAGGGCGCCGCCCGACCAAATGACCCTGATTAATACATTTAAATATATATATATATATATAATAATATTATATATTATATAATATATTATATTAATATATTAATATATTAATATATATATATTAATATATTAATATATATATATTAATATATTATTATATTAATATATATATTAATATATTATATTATATATATATATATATATATATATATATATATATATATATATATATATATATATATATATATATATATATATATATATATATATATATAATTTAAATTTAAACTAAAAACTAAAATATTTGGAAATATATTGATATATCTTTTAGATGTTCAAGATAAATATTGAATCTTTAATGACAAGCAAAGCGTCATTTAATTTTTTGTCGGATTGGTGACGTATTTCCGCCCTAGGGAGCAAAAATCTTTGTAAAAGTTGTACATGATCTCTGTAGTTATGAGCCATTTTTTTAGGTGCAATAAATAAATGCATGTTGGGTATTTAAAGAATACGTTTTTATTATGAAGTTCTTCCCCTGGATGGATGTTTGGTTGTTCATGAATGATGACATGTTCACCTGTTTTATTTTAAGAAGTGTTTTGCTTGTAGAAATACATTTTGTTATTTGTTATTGCATATTCATTGGTTTAATATACATCATAATTATTATAAGTAGGCTAAATGATTATTATATATTTGCTAAATTTTAATACTTGGGTGTATTATTTCAAATATATAAAGTTTAGTCCCTTAATTGCATAATAATCAGGTTACCTTTATGCAATTCAAACAATAAATGATGTATTAGAAATAAATAAGCTTTATTAAACTAAAAAATGCATCATGCAAGGTCTGTGCTGCTGCCATGCTGGAGATCAGCCTGTTTTTCAGTGTAGTCCTGTTTCTCTGACTGTGACTAACTGGATGTGCTCTCTTCATCCTCTGACATGGGAGCTGGCTTGGAGCTCGTCTGCCTGGACGGGGCCGCCTTTTACAGTTGCCTTTTGTATCTATGCTTCTTTTTCTATGTCTGCTTCTGTCTCCTTGAACCCCAGTGGGCCTCAGCAGATGGCCGCTCACACTGAGCCTGGTTCTGCTGGAGGTTTCTACCTGTTCAAAGGGAGTTTTTCCTCTCCACTGTCGCTACAAGCATGCTTAGTGTGAGGGATTGCCTTGGAGTCAATGAATTGATGCAATCAACTGGTTTTCATTAGATAGAAAACTTTGAATCAATCTGATTAGATTTGTGTTAAATTATCTAAATTATCTAAAAAACATTTTATGGAATTTGTTATGTAATAAAATAACAAATCTAAAAAATTTGGTGAAATGATTCTGAGAGTGTATGGGGTAGGCTTGCATCATTTGGTAAACTCATATTTTGCCACTTTGGTCAAAATATAAACAGGACGAGAATAACTATGTTTTCATTTATGAATAACACGGAACCATAATAATAATAAATTACATTACTGTTTAATTAGAGAGAGGTGATTATTCCCATGGTTCCAGAGGGTTACCTGTGGCACAGGTAAATGGAGCCTCTGTAATCAAGCATGGCGGACCCCGCTGCTCTTTGAAGTGCGGTAACTTTAACCTAAAGCTTTGAAGTTTCTCCTGGTTGCTAGGGACCACTCACCGTCTCTAAGGTGCTGTTGCCGGGCAGAGCGTTCTTGAACGGCGCGAGCCCACTTCTCTGCCTCCTCCAGGTTAGCGCGCGGGTCCTGGAGCGCCGCGAGCCGAAAGCACTGCTCCACGCGCTGCCGAGCCGGCGCAGCTTTCACCCAGCGGCGCTTCTTCAGCGGGTAGAAGTAGGCAGCAAAGTACGCAGAGGGGTCTGCCCCGTCATCCCCCCGGTAAGCCTGGGAACCAACGCAGTCCCTCAGACTCAGCACCACTTTGCGGCAGCTGACAGGTGCCGAATCGAGCCTCTGGATGATGAAGTCCTTCTCGGTCAGATTTACGGAGCACCGGGCTTTTCGGTTGCTGCTCAGTGTAAATTCTCCAAACAACGTGACGGGACCTGAAGCGTTCCTAAAGTCGGATCTCCTCTGATCCATCCTGATCGGATGTCAGAGGGTGAGACACGGACGGGATCCGGGACAGAGCTCCAGCTGCGCTGTCTCATCGCTGATGCGGAGCAGAGCGGAGACTGCAACTGACAGCCTCCCACTGATCGGACGTCTGTCAAGATATACGGAAAAAAAAACTCCACATCCGGGTAGATTTCAAAATAATCTGATGCCACTTCAGAGCAGGGTAGATTTAAAAATAATAGCTACTTTACAGCAGGGTAGATTTCAAAATAATAGCTACTGTACAGCAGGGTAGATTTCAAAATAACAGCCACTTTACAGCAGGGTAGATTTAAAAAAAATAGCCATTTTACAGCAGGGTAGCTTTCAAAATAATAGCCACTTTACAGCAGGGTAGATTTCAAAATAATAGCTACTTTACAGCAGGGTAGATTTCAAAATAACAGCCACTTTACAGCAGGGTAGATTTAAAAATAATAGCCATTTTACAGCAGGGTAGATTTCAAAATAATAGCTACTTTACAGCAGGGTAGATTTCAAAATAATAGCTACTTTACAGCAGGGTAGATTTCAAAATAATAGCTACTTTACAGCAGGGTAGATTTCAAAATAACAGCCACTTTACAGCAGGGTAGATTTAAAAATAATAGCCATTTTACAGCAGGGTAGATTTCAAAATAATAGCCACTTTACAGCAGGGTAGATTTCAAAATAATAGCCACTTTACAGCAGGGCAGATTTTTTTTTTTAAATAGCTGCTTTACAGCAGGGTAGATTTCAAAATAATAGCCACTTTACAGCAGGGTAGATTTAAAAAAAAATAGCCGCTTTATAGCAGGGTAGATTTCAAAATAATTGCCACTTTAAAGCAGGGTAGATTTAAAAATAATTGCCACTTTGCAGCAGGGTAGATTTCAAAATAATAGCCACTTTACAGCAGGGTAGATTTCAAAGTAATAGCCTCTTCACACCAGAATAGATTTCAAATTAAAAGCTACTTTACAGCAGGGTAGATTTAAAAAATAATTGCCACTTTGCAGCAGGGTAGATTTAAAAATGATAGCCACTTTACAGCAGGGTAGATTTAAAAATAATAGCCATTTTACAGCAGGGTATATTTTAAAAAAATAGCCACTTTACAGTAGGGTAGATTTCAAAATAATAGCTACTTTACAGCAGGGTACATTTCAAAATAATAGCCACTTTACAGCAGGGTAGATTTCAAAATAATAGCCACCTTACAGCAGGGTAGATTTAAAAATAATAGCCACTTTACAGCAGGGTAGATTTCAAAATAATGGCCACTTTACAGCAGGGTAGATTTCAAAATAATAGCTACTTTACAGCAGGGTAGATTTCAAAATAATAGCTACTTTACAGCAGGGTAGATTTCAAAATAACAGCCACTTTACAGCAGGGTAGATTTAAAAATAATAGCCATTTTACAGCAGGGTAGATTTCAAAATAATAGCTACTTTACAGCAGGGTAGATTTCAAAATAATAGCCACTTTACAGCAGGGTAGATTTCAAAATAATAGCCTCTTCTTACCAGAATAGATTTCAAATTAAAAACTACTGTACAGCAGGGTAGATTTAAAAAATATTAGCTACTTTACAGCAGGGTAGATTTCAAAATGATAGCCACTTTACAGCAGGGTAGATTTCAAAATAATAGCTACTTTACAGCAGGGTAGATTTAAAAATAATAGCCACTTTACAGCAGGGTAGATTTCAAAATAATGGCCACTTTACAGCAGGGTAGATTTCAAAATAATAGCTACTTTACAGCAGGGTAGATTTCAAAATAATAGCTACTTTACAGCAGGGTAGATTTCAAAATAACAGCCACTTTACAGCAGGGTAGATTTAAAAATAATAGCCATTTTACAGCAGGGTAGATTTCAAAATAATAGCTACTTTACAGCAGGGTAGATTTCAAAATAATAGCCACTTTACAGCAGGGTAGATTTCAAAATAATAGCCTCTTCTTACCAGAATAGATTTCAAATTAAAAACTACTGTACAGCAGGGTAGATTTAAAAAATATTAGCTACTTTACAGCAGGGTAGATTTCAAAATGATAGCCACTTTACAGCAGGGTAGATTTCAAAATAATAGCTACTTTACAGCAGGGTAAATTTAAAAATAATAGCCACTTTACAGCAGGGTAGATTTCAAAATAATAGCCACCTTACAGCAGGGTAGATTTAAAAATAATAGCCACTTTACAGCATGGTAGATTTCAAAATAATAGCCACTTTACAGCAGGGTAGATTTCAAAATAATAGCCTCTTCACACCAGAATAGATTTCAAATTAAAAGCTACTTTACAGCAGGGTAGATTTAAAAATAATTGCCACTTTGCAGCAGGGTAGATTTCAAAATAATAGCCATTTTACAGCAGGGTATATTTCAAAATAATAGCCACTTTACAGCAGGGTAGATTTAAAAAAAAAAGCTACTTTACAGCAGGGTAGATTTCAAAATAATGGCTACTTTACAGCAGGGTAGATTTCAAAATAATAGCCACTTTACAGCAGGGTAGATTTCAAAATAATAGCCACTTTACAGCAGGGTAGATTTCAAAATAACAGCCACTCTGCAGCAGGGTAGATTTAAAAAATAATAGCTACTTTACAGCAGGGTAGATTTCAAAAATAATAGCTACTTTACAGCAGTGTAGATTTCAAAATAATAGCCACTTTACAGGAGGATAGATTTAAAATTAATAGTCACTTTACAGCAGGATAGATTTAAAAATGATAGCCACTTTACAGCAGTGTAGATTTCAAAATAATAGCCTCTTCACACCAGAATAGATTTTAAAATAATAGCCACTTTACACCACAGTAGATTTTTAAATAAGAGCCCATTTTGTTTATCTATGCAAAAAAAGAAGAAAAAAATCAAATATTTAATGTATGATATACACTTTTTCTTTTTTTTCTTCTTTTTTTCATAAAGAAAAATCTCTGTCTTTGCCTAGGGCCCCAGATTTCCTAAATCCGCCCCTTGTTAAATGCATGTTACGTTAATTGAGGAGGTGCAAGCATTCACTGTGGAAAAAGGTTATTTTTCTAATTTATTTTTTTTTCAATCTCAGTAATGTAAGCGTAACAAATAAAAGGCTAAATCAGTGGAAATTTAGGCATATAAAATTTATTATAGGATTGTGCACATTGTTATTAAAGCTATTGCTTCCCTTTCTGTTCTTTTCCTGGGAGTAATCTACTTATTTTAACCACCTTTCACTTAAGGCTTGGTAAATCTATAAAAATGGAGCCTAGGCGGAAGTTCAACTGAAAAAAATTATTACTATTTTCCTCATTCACCGGCCAATCAGCATCCATAGTTCATCCTAAAAGGGACTCCAGTCCACATCTTATAGAAGGCGCCTTTGATTCAGAGAAGCCCGATTCAACCCGCCTCCAGCCCCTTCTCCACCATCGTAGCTAAAGCTTCATCAGAGTGTCATTTCTAACAGACTCTTACTGTCTTATCTCAATGGTCCGACAGAAAACTGCCATATTGAACCTGATTCTACCACAGGTTACTTCCCTAAGGGGAGTTTTTCCTCTCCACTGTCACTTCATGCTTGCTCAAACAACCTGCGTTATCCAACTGGACTTCCATGTTCTGGTCCCAGAGTGAAGCACTAGTATCAGTTCACGGAGCCCACCGGATTTCTTCGTATAGCTCACCGTCCAGCTAACCAGCAGTCTACAGACTGACCAACTTCATCTATCTCCACTCCACCACCAGTTTCAGGCCTGGGGGGGGAAACATCCCTATTATTTACTCCTGTTCACGCTTATCAAAACAAAATTTAGCGCTAATGTTTCCTGCCAAGGTCTGAGCACCAAAGACTAAAGTAATTGTATGAATAAAGTTCTTCTCATTGTCTATTCCTTCCATGTGAGTTTTTCATATTGAAATGACTATAAGCAGGAGTAAAAAGATCAGATCACAGAGAAACTGCAGCAGTTGGCACAGCTGTGAGCTCAGGTCTTCAGCAGGCGATGGCATCCAAAAACTGAGGCCTGAAAAATGTCATCTTCTGCTTCTTATACCTCATGAGTCTATGTGTTGCATCAGGTTGAGGTTTAGAGGTCAGTTCCTGAAACGCCATCAAAACCCTGAGCTTGCTAAACTTGACATACACAAGTTCACCCTCACAAAGAATTACAGGTGCTAGGCTTCAGGTACTTAGAGATTCACTTCCATACAGAAACCCCACATTCATATCTTCAGGTAACACAGAGTACATGTCAGACTTAATAATATTACTTTAGCGATAGTTTCAAGGTGTTGATTTATTGTATGTCTCGTACCGTGTCTTTCGGTTGTGCTGTTCTTTTTTCATCTCGTTACAGGTGATGAAGCAGACTGAAAATGTTTTGTCATTGTCTCCTTTCTATCTCTTCTTTCTTTCATCTTTTCTCCTTTTTTCCCCTTTCTTCTTCTGTTTTTCTGCTCTATTTATGTTGCAGTGTCCATATAAACTGTAAAACTCCCTGCATAATTATAATAAAGCAATTTATATGAAAAAAAAACAAAAACAAAAAACCCTGAGCTCGTTCTCTGCTGCATCTGCGCCTCAGGATCACAGCTCTTCTTTATCAATCCGGCCTCTAGGATGAACTGTTATTTGTGCTCATTGTTCGAACAGAAGGTCTGTCCTCATTAGACAGCCTCTGTTACACTATGTGATGGGAGACTATGTAGGACTCTATCAGATAGATAATATAACAAAAACATACATGACCAATAAAGAACAATCCTAACAACAGTTATTATCATGTATTTCTCACGTCTGATTACAAGTGTCTTTCCCTAATAAAGCTTGTTAATGAACACAACTGTATGCAACGATAAGCCTGGAGCTTCCTGCAGTTCTGTCTGGTTGTTAGACAGAATCATGCTTTTATGATTAAGGGTGCACCCATTTTTTTTATTTGATTTCTTTTAATTTTTTGGCTTCACTTTGTTTAGCTGAAGATCTTTAAAATGAAAGCTGTGTGGTCTAAGAACAAGGAAAAGAAAGGCTGTGCTTCCCCCTAGTGGTGAACTTATGAACAACAAAACAGAAAGGAGCACAAAGCAAACTTTTTGTTCTAAAAAGATTAAGTTAAGC